ATCTCAATTGAGGAAATACATTGATAATTCGTCATGTGGTCCAAGTAGATGATGTGTAGGTGAAGGATAACCTGACTATGAAGACATCACCTATGTGGATAGAGGATAGCGAGTTTAAGTAGCTTCAAGGTAAAGAGATTGTCTTGGTGAAGGTAGCTTGGGGAGGACCAACAGGTGGAAACGTGACTTCGGAACTCGAGAGTCAGATAAGGGAGTCATGATCTGTTCGTTTGAGTTAATTTTCAAGGGCGAAAATCCTTTTAGTGGGGGAGAGTTGTAACACCCCAATTTTTATTAATTAATTATATATTTTATTAATTGGTTATTTGTTTGATTTTATGAATAAATGATTTAATTTAAATCATTTGATGTATGTTATATGTGATGGGTTATTTGGGGTGAGACTATCAAACCTTGAGTTATCATTGGGAAATGATGTTGGTTAATGAAAGATTATTTTATTAGTGAGAATCGTAGAGAATTAGTGATATATCGGTAATTGGGCCTAATTGGGATAATGTGAAAAGTAGTGGGGTGTGATAGTGAGCCCATTAGTTGTTGGGTTAGTATTATTTTTTTAAGGGTTTAATAAAAAGAAAATAGAGTTAGTAAGAAGAATAGAAGGAAAAAGGTTAGAGCCATTACACGTGAAAAGAAGAGAAGAGCGAGAAAGAGGGGAAAAGGGCAAGAATGCTAAAGTTAGTAGAATATACCTAGAATAAGTTAAGGGTGGATTTTTACTTGTTTATATGGATTGTATGATAATGCATGATCGGTAGTAACATGTGTTAGGATCTATTTCACTAATTTTTCATGTTTTGAATCACTTAGGTTTTGATTGAGAATCCATGTGATTTGGTATGTAATTGTGTTATAATGTTAGTGATTATGTTGTTGTGCTATATGAGTGGTATACTATGAAAATCGCAGCTTATTTTGGTGTAAAGCTATGGATTTTTGGTCAAAATCATATAGGGATAAGTGTTGTCATCGCAGTAGATTTTTTTGCAAATCGCAAAGCCCGCTAGCGCGAGATGGCTTGTTAAGTGCGACCGCTTCTGTAAGTTGGGCACGTAGCGCCTTGGAGCTCACTCAGCGTGAACTGGGAGTTGAAAATTTAATATTTTCTTTATTTGAAATGGACTTATGTATACTTATATTTTATGCTAATTTATACTTAATTTTGGAGAATTAAAACTACATGTTATGATGGTTTTTTAAGGTCTATTTGATCAAACATGAAATCTTGTTTATGTGGACTATGTATGTTTGTGAGTTGTGTTGGATTGTAATAACACTTTTGTACATTTCTTGATATGTGTTATGGTAATAGTTTGACATGGTTGTGTTATGAATATGAATTGTATGTGGATAATTCATGAGTATGTGCATGTGTGTGCAATTGTGTGGTATATGCATGGATGTTAAGATTGAGGGATAGTCTTAATTGCATATGGTTGTTGAAATTGCACATGCATCATTGTTGTCAAGAGGCAATACTTGTTAGTTTTGTGGGAACCTAGTGACTTGTCCCAAACCTAGAGTGGGGTTTGAAAGTTTAGGGAACATGATTTTGTGTGTTATTGGTATAGAGAATGGATCCATTTTAAAAGTAAAAATCGAATAAAAATAATAGTGGTTAGTACCATGTACATGAGTATTGCACTTGAGTCTTGCATCGAGTCACATTGTGTTTATGTCATAATATGAAGTTATATGCATTATGTAAAAATGATGTATTTGTGAAATTGTGAACTGTAATTATATACTTGTGAATAGTATGAATAATTAGGTGATGATATGTATGTAAAACATTTAAGTGTGGGACTATTTATCTTTATGCATGTATGTTATGCATTATGTATTATTATATGATTTCAATAATCATGTGATTCCCAACTTTATGTTGAAATGATGTTTTATACGACATCACTCAGGTACTGAAGATTAGAGTTGCTTCTAGCAAGAGTGTAGCTGGATGAGTTAGCTTATTTTATTTTTGTATTTTAGGTTTTGAGTCATGCTCTGATTATGTAATTCGGGGGAATATTTTAAATTTTTATTTTGAGAGATACATTGTATACTCTCTTTTATTTTATTATGATTTATTATAATTATGTGGTAAATTGGCTTTTATTGTCTAAGTTATTTAACGAATGAAGTTATTATGAGACTCAGACATTATGTTTATTTGAATGAAATCATTTTGCTGCTACATGTTGATGAGAAAGTGTATGGAAAGCATGAATTTTAATTAAGTGTTATCAAGCATGACAGATGTATGTGTGATGTTTGAATTATATATGACACCCTCGATTGATATGCCTGTAGTCTGATTCATGACCTATTATTTAGCAGGGTTTTAGAGGGTGTTACATCTCTCGTTCCATCTCCTCTTATGAAGACCTCTTATTCCCTTCCCTCTTTCTGACCAATCCAAATACTTTAGATTTTTTAGTGTTACTGATTATATGTGTTCTTGAATCGTGATTCATGAGTGTTGTGTTATTATCTGTTACTGTGTTAGAGGCTTAGAGTGAATCGTTCAAGGCTTCTATCTTGTAATGTATTCAACCCATCTTCTTGTTTTTTATGTTTACTATATTGTTCTTTATCTTTACCATATTTTCATGTTTGATTTGATGAATCATTCTTTAGAATTGTTTCAGTTTTTCTCTAATTTTTTACCTAAAATGTTATGTTACATGTTCTGACCTAAGTTTGTAAATGCATGTTACAATTTTGACCTGAGTTTTGTGTTTCCCATTTGATTAACAATAATAAATGGTTTTACACTTCTATTGTTGAGTTTTATTCTAAATAAAGGTTCGGCTATGGTTCTGAATAAGTGTTTGTCTTCTGTTCTTAATAAAGAGTAGGGCTTATGTTGTTGAGTTTTGTTCATATTTTGTATTACATTATTGTTTGATTGGATTTATTTTCTTCCATGTCTTTCAAAGATTCCTCGTTGACTCCAAAGTCCAAACATGGATGATCTTATTGATATTAATATGTTGCTTGATGGGATTAGGGAAAAGGAGACAATGGATGAAGGTAACATAGAGATTAGTAAGATGATTGATTTGGAGCTTTCAATTCCAATTCCAACTGAGAACACTACTCAAAATACTACTATTGAAAATAATATTACTACTCAAAATACTACCATTACCGATGAGTCAACCCCTCCAGGTGATCAAGATTAGAGTTCTCAGAGTCAGTTATGCCTTTGATGAAAATTAATTTTGAGGCCAAAGATGTTGCCTTGTGAATTATTCTGAGGCCAATTTTGTTACCTTATATTCTACTTGATCAAATAGGTATAATATGATATTCATCAAATGGGTATACCCCTTTTTATCCAAATCATAATCAAGCAACTGCCTATGAAAAAGAGTTGTAAACCAACTTAAATTGCCTCTTCCAATTGTATCAAGATACCTATGGAACCAATGATGAGATTGCCCCTGTATCTGAAACTCCAGAAATTGGATTTAGTTTTGGGTTGGGAAAGAGGAATTTTGAGAGGTTTTTAGAAACTGTTGTGTGTAATAGTAATTCAAAATATGATCTTTAATTATATCTTAAAGAGCCTCCCTTGAAATTTCCCCCTTAAAGCTAAGTTTGATGTTTTAACATGGTGGATGGAGAATGAAGTCAACTATCTTGTTCTTAGTAAATTGGAAAAGGAAATGCTAATTGTTCCAGTTACTACTGTTGGTTCAGAAGCAACTTTTAGTGCCGAAAAAAGGATTGTTGATCCGAAACGATCATCTATAAAAACTAAGACAGTTGAAATGATAGTTTGTGAGGGTGATTGGGCGAAGGAGATGTATGGCATTAAGAAGGGATGCACTACTAGTGTTGTAAATAAATTTTTCTTGTCTTTTTTAATTTAATATGTACATTGCTTAATATGTTATCTCACTTTTGCTTTTTCATTTGTAGATTGAGGAACCACAAGATGAACTTTTGACATATCATTTTGGTCAAGATTCGAGTGTCTCTTCTTCGACAACTGCAAGTTGAAGATCTGTATTTGCAATGCCAATGATGAGATTGTTCTGAAGCATCATTAAAATATGTAATGTTATTTTGTACTTTTTTGAAAACATAAGTTTCATAACTTATGTTTTAACAAATTTTTTGAAAAGATATTGTAATGTAATGTATTATGTACTAATATCCTTCCTTGTCATTCCTTATCCTTCAATGATACAATGTGTATTAAGAATCAAGATTGATGAATTTATGAACAATGTAATGTAGTGTCCTTCCCTATTTATTTAATCAATAATTTAGATTATGCATAGTGAATTAAACAATTATGTTATGTGAAATTGTGAATAAAATTTTTTGGAATTTTTAAAAATTTACAATTTAATTTTTTTTCCTACTTTTCCGGGTGGTCCGGTTACCCGACCGAAAATTATCAGTCCGATCTCAATTCTCACAAGGCAAGTAATGATATTTCGGTTCGATCTCGATTTACCCAACCATATCGGACCGGTTTCAGTTCAAAAAAAAATATTCCAAAACTGTTATAATCTGGTCTCAGTTGACCCGATTAGAGTTTCAGTCCATTTCTCGAGAGCCTGAATATCCAGATCGGTCTGAATCGAAAACAACCCTACATCCTAACAAGATTTTTATTTTGATATTCTTTTGTGCATAATTTTGTATAGAAACTAACCACCGTATTTAACATTAACATTTAGAAAACTATCATTTTTTACATTCATATAAATCATGTAAAAATTAAAATTAAAAAAAAAAAAAAAAAAAGTCAACTTTTTTCAGTCATCATTCATTCATGTTTCTGTCATTATCAAACATCTATCATCATCTTCTACCTCCACACCATACAAAACATGTTTATCGACGTAAAATATGAACAAATGAAAACGGAGAAAAAGAAATAAAGTACATCATCATAATAATTCATTGTGTTCTTCAGTTCTGTTTACAGGTTGAAGGAATGAAATTCAAACAACAGAAAAATGGAAAAATTGGAGAAAGGAAGAAGAAGTTGTCAATGGAGATCCGCTGATGAACTCCTCTGCCTTCAACCTTTGACGATGACATTCAACACCACGTCTGTAATCCAGAGAAAACCAAACTCCATGATGACGCACCCTTTCCAACTCCGACCAGCAGCCCTCCGTCACTCTGATCGCGAGTCGTATACACCTTAACCACGTGAAGTTGTCTTCGACGAGTCTTCTTTCCGCAGCACATAATCTGCAGCAACGCGACCCACCCGGTATCGTCCTCGTTGTCAACGTACAAGGACCCACCACTCACATCCACCACAAAGATTCAACCACCAATGATAACAACAACACATACCTGCAACCAAGAGAGTTCAAAACAGAAAAGCAAAACAACTCAGTTCAGGACTTACATCTAATACTTGGGGTGCAGGGTGTGAAACCACATATGTGTTAACCATTCTCCGCAAATTCACAAGCCATCATCTGAACTTGATTTCGTCATCCGCAAAACCGATGTAGCCATCATCTGAACCTTCTATAGTTCTCGCCGAAAGAAAAAGAAAGTAGTAACTGGTTTTTGGTTTTCTTCTTTGCAAATTCTGATCAAAGCTACGAAGAAGAGAGGAAAGTGGTAGCTTATATCTTTAACCGAAAACTCCTTGTTTCTCTTATCTTTATCTTATTATTTAAACAATTAATTAATATTTAACATAAAAAGTGTTAAAGCTTTGTCTATAATCATTTTTTTAGGATTTCTTTTACCACTTTATAGTTTGCTAATGCACCATGGGAAATTCTTAAAATATCCTTTAAAATTGAAAATTTATTTTCGGTACACTCCTTATCAGGTATAAATTCTATGTAAAATTTGGGTAATAATCAGAAATATACATCCGATTATAACCACAAATGTATTTCTAGTTGCACACAAATACACACAATTGTGTGGCCTTGGAATCCAAACTCCAATCAAGATATGAACCAGAATTGAATTTACGGTGGTAATCAGAGGTATATTTTCGATTTTTATTCAGACTTAAAATTACGTTGTATTTTCCCCTCCTTTTGCAGAAACGTTTTTAAAAAAATAAAATAAAACATACATTCCTCTCAAACCCCATTGTTACAAAATCCAACCACTTCGTAAAAAGCTCGTCAGAAATCGTCAAGCATCAGTTAACTCAAGTGTTCAACCACATTCAATCAAGAAAAATCATCAATTGTAAGTTATTTTTAAGTTTTTTAAGAGTTTATGTGATTTCTACTCAAATTTGTGATTTAGGTTAGAAATTGTGATTTTGTTGTGTGTTTTCAATACGAGGAATCATTATAAATGTGTTGGAAGTCACATTTTTATGATCAATGACCTTTTTTGGAGGTTATTTGGGGCTCTGCTTTGCCATTGACGAAGCTCTAAAATTGCAAGTCGTACCGGAAATGTATTTCCGATTTTCATTTTAACATTGAAGAAAATCGATAATGCATTTCTGTTTTAGTTTGTTTCTATTTTTCCCTTAATTTTGAACATTAGTCCTTATATTAACGTTTGCTCTGTACTTCTACAAGAGTAATGGCTGAGAGAGTGATCAATGGTTTTTCCACCTTTATTTACAGTTGATTTTAGTTATCGTTTCTTTAATTTGTCAAGTATTTCTATTTCATTCTTCTATGTTTTATGCGTTGGTTGTGTATTTTGTTATTTTCAGGCTCAGAGGAATAAAACCAGGAAGATCAATGCGAAAAATGAAAATTCGGAGTTTCAGAGGAAGTCTCAAAAAACCAAGAAACGGGGTACCTGACACGGCCACCTGTGTTGCCTGACATGGACCGTGTCAGGAGAGGATGCTCAGCAGGCAGTTTGGAAGAAGAGGTAGAGGCTGACACGAGTACCCATGTCAATTGACACAGGCCGTGTCAGAAGGTATGGGCTAGAGGATTTGTTGGTGCGATAGGAAGAGGACGACACGGGTGCCCGTGTCAGGTGACATGGTCTGTGTCGTCCAGGATATTGATTTGAGTGTTTTTATGTTTTTTTATGATTTAGGACCCAGAGGGGCGTTTTGGGCATTTCGAACCAAGACAAATGAATTGTTCACTATTTAGTCAATTTTCTAGGATGAAAGGAGAGCCCTTTTTTTTGGAGAGAACGAAGTCCAGAGTTTAGGAGTGAGAATATGATATTGTTGAAGAACAGAGATCTTTCATGAGCGGACGCGATTGAAGATCAAAGTTCCTTCATCATCAGTACTGTTTAATTCTTATATTTTTGTAATTCTCGTTAACAATATGAACCGCTAAACCCCCCAATGGTAAGGGGTGTTCTTGATTTAAATTTGTAATGATTATGAATTCTCGAGTTCTTTAATAAAGTTCTTTTCTTATTCAATTTAATCGTGCAATGTTTTCATGCTTTTCTGATCAGACCAAATACGATTGATCTACGGTTAACAACCAGCTAGACCGTGATTGTTAAGGTTTTTATACGATTAGACTATAGTAGATATCACCTAAGACTAGGGATACCTTGTAGTTACCAGATCACTCTTGATAAAATGCATCAGATATCTTTAAGGACTTAGGATTTAGGATGGATGGTTAAAGGTTTTCTCACTAAGGACTTAGGGGAAAATAATCTAAAAGACTGGTAGTTGAAGGTTATGAACTTGTTAAAGAAATCATGATTCAAGGTCATTATAGGGCAAATTACACACCACGCCCAAGCAAGTTCATTATATATGTGAAAAAGAATATTTATATTTCTGCTTATTGTTAAGTGATAATTTCTAAAATCAAAACCCCAAGTTAAGTTTTGTTTAATTGAATCATAAATTAAACTCGGTAATTTTGTGCAACCCTTGAGATCTATATTCGGGGAAATTTCCCTATTATTACAAGAGGAAAAATAGTATACTTGTTATTTTCCCTATCAAGTTTTTGGTGCCGTTGTCGGGGGCTGCCTAGTTATTGAGTGTAATTTGTGTTCAATTATAATTTTGTTGCTCTGGAACTAAAATTCTTTTCTATAATTTTTATAGTTTTGTTATTACTGATTTTTCCTAACCTTTGCATGTGAGGAAAACCCTCAGCTGAATTTCCTTTTGATATACAGACTCAGGTTCAGAATCAGAACCCGAAACTATGGGTAAAAATCCACCACCACCAAAGAGATTTCTTGGGTATTACAGAGGAGCAAATGCTCTAGCAGGTCGGTTGACTATTGTGAATCAACTGGTCAATGTTGCAAATTTTCAACTGCATCCTTTAACCATCTATCAGCTCGAGAACAGATCTTTCACCTGAAAGATCAATGGAGATGCCAATAAGCATTTGTAGGTATTCCTCACCATGAGTACTACTTTGAAGATTGAGGGGCACTCTAGAGAAGTCAAGAAATTAAGGATGTTCCTGTTCACGCTGTCTGAAGATGCTGAAGAATTGTTTTATTCATTGTGTGCTAGAAGTATACCACTTGAGAACAGATGGATAAGACTTTTCTTGATGAGTACTTTCCTGCTTCTATTTATATTCGCAAAAGATATGATATTATGAATTTTAAGAAGAAGGAAGGGATTCGCTAGGTGATGCTTATAAGAGGTTCAAGAGGTTATTAGTAGCATGTCCCGCTCATAACATGGGTTAAACAGAGCATATGCAAATGTTTGTAAATGGCCTTTGAATGAAGACAAAGCAACTTATTGATACAGCAGTCGGTGGCTCATCCAACTTTACAACAGCCACTGGTGTGGAGAAGATTATTGAAGTCATTGCTACAAATGAGCATCTGGACCTATATGACAAATTTGTGAGTAAACCAGAGGGGGTGATTGATCTGAAGTTAGAAATTAACAAGCAGCTAAAAATTGAAGAAGAAATTGTTGTAGAAGTAGAGAAAAAGCTTAAAGCAATGAACATGGGTACTCAATAGGTAGCTCAGGTTCAACAGGTATAGAAGGTTGTTTATTAAATGTGTAGTGTACCACACCTTACTGTGCAATGTATTGTAACTCTACAACAAATACAGGGGATAAAATTATTGAGGCAAAATAACCCATATTCTAACACCTATAATCCTGGATGGAAGAATCATCCTAACTTCTCTTGGAAATATCAGCAACAACAAGCTCCTCAGAAGGCAGGGTGAGAGGTGGCCATTGAAAAGATGGATGCCCACACCGCTCAATTTCAAGAAGAGACAAGGAGTAATCATAGGAATACCACAGCTGCAATAAAAAATTTGGAAGTTCAAATGAGACAGATTGCACAACAGGTAGCGCTACGAGCACAGGAAAATCAGAAAAATCATGAGAATGCTAATGTTGTCACAACAAGGAACGAGAAAGATGTTGAAAAGAAAGATGAGGTAAAATTTGATGATAGTATCATAGAAGTAGATTTAGAAGTGAGAGAGAATAAGAAAAAATAGGAAGAAGTGGTATCACATGTGAAGCCATTTGAAGAGAAAACTAAACCAATAATCAAGTTGTTGTATCCATATCGAGTGGAAAAGAAGGACACACAAGAGAAATAGTTTTACAAATTTGTCCAGTTGTTCAAAAAGCTGGAGATCAACATACCATTCTTTGAAGCACTCGAGAAAATGCCCTTGTACCAGAAATTCACGAAAGACGTTCTCTCAAAAAAGAGACAAACAGAAAATGAACAGGTACTCGTTGATGAGAAATTATGTGTAATTTCACCCGAGAGGAAAATACCTGTCAATCAGAAGGATCCAGGGTCAGTTGCAATACCATGCACCATAAAAGATAGAACTTTCAAGAGGGTTCTGGTTGATTCTGGCTCTAGTGTGAGTTTAATGTCATTGTCGATTTTCAAGAAGCTCGGTATTGAGAAGATAAGAAGGAGTGGGACAAAATTGAAATTTGCTGATCACACCATCAAGCAGTCATATGGGGTAGTTGAAGATGTGTTGGTGGAAATTGACAATTTTGCTTTTCCAGTTGATTTTCAGATCATGGACATACCTAAAGATAAAGAGACTCCTAACATTCTTGGTCGACCATTTATACTGACTATTTGATGCAATTTTAATATCGAGATAGGTAATATGACACTAAAATCATTTAATGAGGAGATAACAATGAAGTCATTGGAGATCAAAAAGCAGAGTGCAGGTGAAAAGAATCAAGCTTCAGCTGGTATGATCAAATTAGCAGGAGAGAATAGAAGTTTAAAATCACCCC